TCATATTTTGTTTGCTTTTCTGTTTGTTTTTTTTTAATAAAAAGTCTGTGATGTAAAAGGTTCCAGATGCTGTCTTCCCTCCAGTCATGCTGAAGCCTGTTTTGGATGTTGCTTAGCATAAGAAATGCCTCTATTATTGCGTTTACATTAGAAAGGAGAAAGCTGAGCCCCAGGAAGGTTATGGAAACCTTCTAAGTTAAGACAACTTATTAGTAATGACCCATGAATGTGACACAAATATTCTAGCTCTTAATAACGTACTAAAAAAACGCAAACATTATTTACACCTCGCTTCTTCCAGTGCCCAAAGTTTGTAGGACTGTGTTCATGCCCAACTTACTGATCCGTTTCTGGATACTTGTTTCAATCTAGAAAAAGAAGCGGAATGAGAATGAAGCGGCTACAGAAGGTGAAGACTCTGCAATGACTGACATGCCTCACACAGAGGAAATGACAGACATCGTAGAAATGAGAGAAGAGAATGAATAATAAATGGGATGCAGTTGTTCTCTGCAGGGACGATTGGAGTGACACTTCAGCATCTTGTCGTCTCTCATACTTTTTTGTTTGTTCGTTTTTATTTTTGTAATAAAGAGGCCTTGATTTAAAAGGTTTCAGATAAATTCTCTAGCATACTGAGTATGCTCTCACTGATGAGGGACCTAAAAAGAGGTCTTTGCTTTTTTTCCCCCCCCTCCTCCAATTGAATTTGTTTTCTCACTCCATGCAAATACAAAAGATACAATTGCATCACTGTAGAGTCTTCCTTACTTATGCATCCACCTCCTCTGGACAATCTGCATTTGTCAACCAAAGCCCTGCTCTCTGTGCACTTGTGTGTGCGTGTGTGCGTGCATACGCTTGCACGCTCACACACGCACATACACGCGTGCCACTGGCTCAATGCTACTGCCATAATCCTACTCCCTCCCCTCTTTCCTTTTCCTTCCTTTTCTTTATGAGAAATGTAAAGGAAAAGAAGTTTGGAATACAGAGCTTTATTTTACTTGCTTGAAAAATGACTTTGCTACATAAACTAATATACTATGGTGAACTATATCTTTTTGTTTGGCCTCATCACTAGAGCTTATACTGCACAGGGTACAAGACAGGGAGGAATGTGTGAGTCTCCACGTAAAAAGTGGAGAAAAACAGGTTCCTCTCTTGTGTTAAAAGTGTGTGGATGTGTATATACACACACAGGTACATAAACGGAGACATATATATATATTTATATATATATGCATACGATAATAAAATACACACGGGACAAGAACTCTATTTAGCTTTCATTCCATCAGAAAGATAGTTATCTTTTGAAAAATGTAAACATTTCATTCAGAATTTTCTTGAATCGTTAAGCCCCACCTCATGTGTAATTTTCTTTAGAAAAAAAAACATGCACTTTCCTCTTGTGAAGAGGGTGATGGCAACTGATAGACTTTGACTGTATTTGAATTTAAAAAAAATAAATATTGACAAGCTTTACCAAAGTTCTTGTCCACTGATTTGACTTTAATTTTTAAAGGTTGCTCTATATACTTATTTCTGGTGCCTATATATTTTTAAAAAAAAATCGGATAACGTATGCAGGATACCATGGTATATGGCATTACCACACGTAGCTCCATGAAATTTTTTATAAAGAGATGTACACATACTCACACCCATGTGTGTGTATGTATATATACATACATATATGCACACAGACACACACACATATGTATGTTTTGCTATAATATATTTACCTATGCAGTAGATGAAAATCCATATGGTGAAGCTCAAGTACTGATGGTCCTCCAAGTCGTTAATTAGGGACCTTGATCATCCGTTAGCTCTCAAGGCAAGAGTTGTGTGGAAGTGGGGAGCTGCTCACATTCGTCAGCAAGCGCGCTGCTGAGCTTTACGAAGGCGTCAGGCGCTGCGTGGCCGGAGTGGGACGTAAATGGCAGCGCGTGAGGGAGAGTGGGTGACTTGTATCGGGTGGAAACGCAGCCGATGTAAGAGGTGACCGAACCAGAGAGGGTTTGGGTGCCACTGTTGAGGGCTGCAAGAGCAGCTTGTATTTCTGCGCTCTTCTGTGCTTGGCTGCGGGGCAGCGTCCGTTACCGGTGTGTAGTAGCTTGGGTTCTTTCAGATTTAGACATGCCAGAGTCTGGAAACTGTTATCCTCCATGCTATATCCACAGGTCAGTTAATTTAAACCTTATTTAGTAAAAGTATATTTTTCTAAGTTGTGGAGATGATTATTTAATTGTGGACAAATTCCGGTTCTAGGTTTATTTGCCAGGTAGTCCCAGCTCTCGGAGAACTGATCAAAACTAAACATTACTTTAAATGTTATATCAATATATGTGTATGTAGACATACACGTGTATAAATATATATATTGTATATTATGTACATTTATTTTAAGCTACAATACATTTCCTATTTTTCCAAGTTCAGCTAAAAATGTCTCTAAAAAACTTCAGAGTTGGCTGGTAACCGATTATGGCCGTCGTGAAAGGCATTGTATCAATGAACTTTACATTTTATTGTAAACATTTGTACCAATTTGTTACATGTACAAATGCAATAAGAAAAAATGTAGAAATTATTGTGTTAAATGGCAGACTTGCAAAATCAGTTCATGGTTAATGAGCAGTGGCAATTGGAGGGTAAGACTAAATCCAGTAACCACACGTTTTGTGTGCCACCACAGGGTTGTTCTCCTTGTTTCTGACAGTAGTTTTAAAAAAAATAGATTAAAAACCCAGACCCTGAAACAAATGAACTTTGTGCAGTATGTAGACTGTACATATTCATGAATACAGGTTCTTAAACAGTCATATGTATATAATATGTATATAGACTGTTACAGATCCCAGTGGCCATGTGAGGTCTTCTCTGTTCATGTAGTTTTGGTTTCTCCAGTACATTTGTATCCAAGTCCACAAGACACAGATTTTCAGGAACTGTAGAGATAAAGCAAGAAAATATTTTTGGGTGATATTTCTTTTGGTACCTGACTAAAATTCAAACAGCAGTATTTTAGAAGAATTTTGAGCATTTGAGAACATAGGTTTCAAGGTAGTAACTGCACCAAAAAGTAAAAATTGGAAAACAAATTAAATGAAGCACTGAAGCTTTTGCTGTAGATAGAATATGAACAAATAGCAAAAACTGAATTATTGATCATACAGAACTAAACTAATAGAATTGTGAAGGATAAATTTTCAATTCTTTGGTTAATACTTAGTAGTCCTCTACTTTGCAAGATACCCAATGAGCGCAGTGGTGGGATTAGGGCAAGAACTCGAGCAGTGCCGTAAGGGTGCGTGCAGCACATCTCTTTCCCGCGTCCTGCGGGACACGTATTTCTTTACGTTGTTCTGCTGGATTAACAAAATGTGCTGACGTTTCTGCGACGAGCGAGTCCGAACCAGCCCCTCGGTGCCGGGCCGGCTACTGGCTGCCGGGGCAGGCAGGGTGCTGAGCGGGGACACGCGTGGCCAAGGAGCGCCCTGTCCCCCACAGCCTCTGCTTCTGAAACCTCACTGCTCCCACTCCCGGTGGGTGGCAGGTCCCGCTGGGCTGGAGATGCAGCTGTCCTCCTGGGTGGAAGTCCCAGTCATAGCGTTACTGGTTCCAGTGTCTCTGTGGGGCAGATGCTGGTGCGCGCTGCTGGGCTGCACCTCTTCCTTCCCAAAAGGACTTTCCTGACCTCTAGTAAAATGGCTTAGCTGTCTCTCTTGTGTTATTGCTTAGGAAATTGCTGTCTCTCTATCTCGGTGATAAATATTTTCCAAGAGAAACCTGTTCAGTTTCTGCTTCGGAGAGCCAGAGCACAGTCAGCTCAGTGAGTTCATGTGGAGACTTTCCAGGCTTTCTTGAGAATTACTGAATTATACAACCAAAGTTATAATAAAAAGAGGAACAAAGTTGATCGGCATCCTACATCTTAAATTTCAGAACAGCTCACACAGTGGGAAATCAGAGCCAAACACCGATAAGCTGTGGATTAATGTTCCTCAGCTTTACATTGTACGTAAAATTGTGTTAACTTGTCTTGAGTTTTCCTTTTGCAGAATTAACAGGAAACATTGGGGTGGGTTTTTTTCCCTCCTCGCTGCCCTGAGCAGCCCTCTCACGCTGGTGACCTGATGGAGGTGGACCTGATGGAGATGGGCTCAGCGTTTCCCAGCCAGTGCTTGAGGCCATGTGGGCGCACCAGCGGGTCCCCTGGTGTGGGGCAGCCCCGCTCCTCGTCCCCCCGGCACAGCCGTTCCCGGCAGGAGCGCTCGGTTGCCTGCTTGTTAGATAGAGCCACCCCGAGTGAGAAGCTTGGGTGAGTAACAGAGCAGTCTTTTGTGTTCTACTCATTTCGCTGCTAAATATTTCCTTTGAGCGGGAGAGATTTATATCTGGCTCTTGCTCCGTGTTTTGCCGAATCTGCAGCCAGGGAGGGAGCAGCCCGAGACAGAGGGCGAGCTGATGAATGCAGCCGATTCAGGGCAGGCCACGACGTGCGAACAGAAACCTTTTGAAGGCGAGAGCGCCTTCTTTTGTGGGACGGCGCCTCGCGCTTAAAAAGCGGGGAGAAAGGATGCTTTCAGGCCTGGGTGCCCGGAGTCGCCCGGCATAGCTGTGTGTTGGGCTGCAAGGTGGCAACGGGGACGGGGCATCCTGCAGCTCCAACATCCCGGACCTGGTCCTACCACCAGCATCCTTGGCGATGTGATGGCGAGGCGGCAGTATCGGCTCTGTCTGTCACTGGGATTTTGTGGTTGCAGCATGATCAGCACAGGGTTGAGCACAGCTGGGTGTTGGCTGAGTATAGCTGCAGTAGCCATTAGTATGTCGGAAAGCCATGCGTAGGTATATGTGTATGCATATGGGTGTGTATACGAGAGTGTCGTGCAGATGTTTTTATTTTAGCGTGTATATAGTTCATTGGAACAAGGATTCAAGCCTAAACATGATCTTAATGCGGAACTAGTGCTACGCCATTTTAAACAATTGCAATTTAAAGCTATGTAAAAGAGTAAATAAAACACCCTTTCAGCAGACCTGATGCCAGTAAGCTAAAGCACGATTTTAGATGAGTAATGTGGAATGAGGGAGAAAGGGGAAATGTTGAAAAGCTTGTGGGTATTGTATATCCAGCCTAAAGACAACAGCACGGCCTGGAGGTGAGTGAAACCAAGAGCAAGAGAACACCAGAGCTGTGGCTGCTGCCATCGCCCTTTCAGCTGCCCTGGAGAGGGATGGGAGGGTGAGGAGCAGCACGGCTGTGAGACACCACTCTTAAGTATTTTGGAGGAGCCATCTGAGGGAGGAGTATGAAACATCTTAGAAGAGTATTCAAGCAGAAATAAATTGGCATGCAGGTTTCAGACCGTGCAAAGAGGAGGCACTATGTAGCTGGCTGAGCAACTGGCAGGACTGCCTTGGGGAAACATCACATACACATCACTTCAATAAAAGACAAAGTTATCACAATTTTGATATCAAATTGGCATCTCCCAAATACCAACTTAACCATAAAATGTTAGGATTCCCTCCCCTCGTTCATGTTTGCTTTTTGACTAGAATGCAAGTGCAGAATACCATATTTTTTTGA